GGCGGGACACGCTAACCGCGTCCTGGTCCCCAGGCGTCAACGTCCCGAGCCTTCCCCAGCTTCCCGCCTCACGGAGCGGAGCGAGACGCTATCAGCTCTCTGGGCATCGCTTGTCGCCAAGGCCGCCGCCGCGACACGCTAAGCAAAAGTTCCTGATTGTTGGACACTCGGGTTTGGGGGTCCTTACCGGTCGGGCCGGCGGGCCCAGGCGGGCTGCCTGCAAGTTGCGCTTCTCAACGGAGGAACGGACAACACACGCACACACACGCCCATACTCACAGGGAGACTGATCCGCACCTCGCGATGTGAGGCTGCGCTATAGGTGTGGGTGAAGGCTGTCGGACCCGAAGGGGGCCCCGCTTGAGTGGGGACCCCCCATCCGACAACACGCACCCATAGCCCTTGCCGAAGTCCACTCAGAGGAGGAAAAGGTACCGATACTGCTACCCTTCCCTCGTTTTCGCTCTCTCGGGCCTCCTGGGAGGCCCTCGTCGCCGCGGCTGGATTCGCCTCGACCTCTTGGTCAGAACGCGCCCGGAGAGAGGTCTGGGGGTCAGCGGTAGCAGTATCCTCTCGTTCCTCCATCCACCCCGATTAATTTGGGGGTCGTATAGGGCTGGGTGCTAGCTGTCAGCTCATGATCAACGACAACTCGCCGATCGGTTCGGCGAGCCGAGGGGGGCTGGGCCTGGGCACCAGTGCGGCGGGGCGCGCGGGTCTGGGCCCCTTTGCTGCCGAGCCCCGTGCGCAGGCTTCGTTCAGGTGGCACCGCACCGGCAGCTCATCGACGGTGACCGTGCGCCACCTCCCTCGCCGCAGGCCCAGACGTCTGGGCGTCGCTCCGTGAAAAACCGAAGCCACGAGGGGCGCCTCTTCCCCGCTTCGGGCCCAGGGGCTCTCGCATCGGAGGAAGGAGAGGCGACAGCATCATCACCAGGGGGCCGTGTCCAGTGAGGGGGTCCACGATGCCTCCCCGAGCTGAGGATGGGGGGCGTCTCGAGCGAGAGCCGGGGGGGGGGGCACACCACCAGGAGGACCCTCCCTGGCGCCCCTCGCTGGTGGTGGTGTCGCGCTTCCTTGTTCCTGCTCACGGGTCGGTGTGTCTCAGGGAGTCCCGCACAGGCCTGGGGCCAGAAGCTCTGGCCGGGGCCATACCGCGGCGCCGGACGTCTGGGCCAACGCCGCCTCTGCCGCCACGCTCTCTGCCGGCCTCCCACCCCCCACCGCGGTCGCGGCCTCCTCCGCGGGGTTCCGCCCTCGCGCCTCCTTCTGGCCTGCCCTGCCCTCCCGTGTCCTGCTCCTCCCCTTGCTCATCCTGCTTCCCCCCCGGAGAGCGCTTTTTTATTTCAAGAAGAAAATATTATCTCCTGGCGATAACGGGCGTGACCCATGGGGGGGGGAAGGGGGCAAGTCACGTCACGATTTGCGCCAGCGCCGTCTGGGAATGTTCAAGACTTGCTCATATCCAAACGGCGCCAGCACGAATCGTGACGTGACCAGGGGTAGGGGGGGAGGTGCCAGTCACGGGCGTTATCGTGAATGATACAAAGACGGGCTCTTGTCTCCTCCTCCTCCTCCTTCTTATCCTCCCCTGTCTTGTCGCCCTCCTCCTCCTCCTCCTCCTCCTCCTCTTCCTACCCTGTCTCGTCCTCCTCTTGCTCCTCTTCATCCTCCTCGCTCTGCCACCCGTCCATTCCCAAGACGGCAAGCAGAGTCCCGCTCACATATCTGCTCTCAAAGAAACGCGAACATGGGCTAAGGCAGGTGGATCAGCGACGATTCCTGTTTTGTTGCCCTCCATTTCTCTGGTCCGTGCGCACATCGGCCGCCAGGGCGCGTGCTCGCGCGATGCGAAACGTACAGCGCACGCTGTAATATGTATCGTTCACGGCGCGCACTGTGTGCGATGCTGCATTTTCAGCAGAAGGTGTGAATGGTCTGCCAGGTGAGTTGTTTTTCGAAGCGTTAGCTTGCGTTGGGCAATCGAGAGCTTCCAACACATTCGACAACCTCCGCCTCCCTCTCCCTCGTCCCCGCCCTCCTCCTCCCGCTCTCCTTCTCTACCTCCCTCCTCCTCTGCTGCTGCTCCTCCTCCTCCTCCTCCTGGCGTTCGGCCTCGTGGAGGGCGACCTGGAGCACGTCAGGTTCCTCGGCGAGGCCGCCAGGAAGGGCTCTCAGAACCTTGAGGAGTTCTCCTCTGATTCTTAGGGCGAGGGAAAGGTTGTTCAGTTTCCTCCCTTGACTCTTATGTCGCTCCACAACGATCTCCTGCTCCTCCTCCTCCTCCGCCTCCTCCTCCTCATCCTCATCCTCCTCCTCCTCTCTTCCCTCCTCTTTCGCAATGCCCTCCTGCTCCCCTCCCTTCCGCCCTTCTCCCACATGAAGCTGGTCAGCGTGTTTGCGCATCCTCATACTTCGCACGGCAAGATCTTGCTGTCAGGAGGGTTGTGCAATCTCGGCTGTGCTGCTGCCGTTTTTGTTCCCCAGCCCTCCTGTGTTG